AAGCGATATGTGCCCAGTGCTGACTTTAACCAGCGTCACTTCTGACTAACAATACAGCCAGAAATACTATCACTCACCTACACCACTAGTTAGTAGTATCAGAAATATCAGTAGCAGTAGTAGCGTTATCAGTCTCGGTTTCCTTTCGTCTGGCTTGACACCTACTGAAGGTGAGTAAAAATGACTACTGCGCCTGAAGACTAAGTTAGGCGGTGTGTCTGGCTGCATTAGAGAAAAAAAACTTACGCCCGATTCCTGCTCCCTCATCTCGACTTTGCCTTGTCACCGATTCACGCGGGGAGAGGGTTTAGAGTAGGGTAGAGGGCTGCTCGTCTACTTTCACTATATCTGACTACAGTCACCGTCCCTGCTCTTGGACATATGGAGGGCATCATCGATTGCGATGGTAAAACTAACACACACCATGCCTAGGAAGATCCTCTCGCGTGTTTTATTTTGATCAAGACGGATACTTCAGTATCGTTTCAGTTGAGGCGTTTGCCGTAAACATGACAAACACGCCGACAAGCGGTTAGCTTGTATTTGTCAGTACGGGTTCTCAGAAGCCGATCGGCATGTATAACGCACAACGGGGTGCAATTATTGCCTATAATGTTCTGTTCTCAATAACGCCACGTGCATGATGGACGTCGCAGATACAAAGTGTAACGTTTGATAGGCTTCAAAAGTAATTAGGTAGTTAGGAAACCTTTTTAAAACCGCACTACAGGGTGTCCACAAAGTCTGGGTACATAGGAATTTTAATATTTTATTTATTTATGTTATTTATGTTGGGATGGCAGGGCCCCATGATTAGTCAACAACGCTTAGGCTCTCAACGCAGCTGCAGCGCAAAGTTTCACGCCGTGGCTTGACAACGCGTCATTAATTATCGATTTTCCGCCCTATCTGATTGAACCGTGAATAATGACGCCTCCTCGCCATGCGCATTGAATAAATAATCTGGAGCCTTTTTCTATGACTGACTTGCACTCTTGCATTCTGACTTGCTGACTCGCTCTGCTTGCTCTCACTTGCAAATAATGGAAATCATCTTGGAAATATAATTTCTTAACATTATAATTAAATAAAATTGTTTTGTTCTAAAGGTATGTATTTATCCCCTATGTACCCAGATTTCGTGGACACCCTGTATATCCTTCCTTTAAGTTAAGCATTTACAAAAAGGCGTAATTTGCTACCAAGCGAGTACAGGAAAGGATAATTTTGTCAATGTTTTCTTTAACATAAGAACAGTGTAAATCAATGAGTTAAATGCATATTACTTGAGTAGCCATTTTTTATCGAATATACTTTTTGTATGTCTTCAATAAAAAGGTCATTAAAATACTGGCGTTATGAGGTGACTGAAATGACTTGAGATTAGGCCACGCGATAATCAGTATTACAGTCCTACTTAATACCGGTTTGCGAGTGATCATCAATCTTTCGCAAAGTTGGACATATTGCATGAAATAGGGACCGTTGTGTAGATTGGTATCCTCTCCTGAATGGAAATCCCTGCTCGTTTGTGT